TTGGAAATATTTCCAAAAATTCCTACGGTCATAAATAAATAAATCATTATTCTACAATATCCGGAAAATTTAAATTTAAAAAATTTTTCCCCCCCCATTAATTAAGTAATCAAGACCCACATCAAATTATAGGTGAATAAGTTACTTCCGAGATACGGCCGGAAAGCCGGCCGGCCCCCTTCTCAAAAAAAAAAAAAAAAAAATTTCGCGAAAATCGCGTTGTTTGGGTGTATTTCTTAGTAAACAGATGTTCTAGTGCATTTATCCTCTAACACCGTTTTCTCTTACTCAAGACGACAGGGTGACCAGTTACACGTTTAATCGAATATTCCCGATAATCTCTGGGCCATATAATGCCTATTTTATTCAGTCTAGAGTAATAACATGTTTGTATGTGTATTTTAGAGTGTTTATATTTCATATTAGATCATTCTGATAGACCAATAAGCCGTAGAGTTGATATATAAGGCGGAATATAGAGCGAAATAATGGGTGATTCCTGGCTGGCATCCTCGAGCATGAACACTGCTGCTCGTTCCCGTCTGGTTTCCCGGTAGACACTATGTCTGTCGATAAGCTCCACCTACTGTTTTAATGATGCCCAATAGTCATTTATGTAATTTAGAAAGAATAATGCAAGAAAAGGCATAAAAACAAGAAAATAACTCCAAAAAATATAAGGCCGGTGAGCAGACTCGGTACCAACCTCGCCGTCACCATACCTGATATACATGAACTATAATTTCTTGATAAAACGTCGTAAACATTCATTCTGGTACCATTGAGTATGCCAAATATATGAGCTATTTTTTCAGTATATTAACTCCAATATCCATATTTTTTCGATTTTTCGGTGAGCGCGCGCGGAAAATTTTTTGCCCCGCCACCCCCTAAAGCCTTGGTTATTTGAAATTAGTTGGCTAAATACATTATAGAGATGTTGGGATTTGATTTGGGACTTGCACATGGGGTAAATAGAATTAATAAAGCTTATTTCATGGTAAGCATTGAAAATTGGGTTGGGCAAGTATTCTATTTAGTAGGGTTGATTTGAATGACCTCCTATATGGGTCCAACAGCCCTAGTGACAGTGTTCCTTCCTTTTCTTATATTACTCTCTCTCACTCCTCTCTGCACAGTCATTTAGTTATAGATTTGAAGCTAGCAATGTAAATTTGTAAAAGCTAACATAGACCAAGTATGTGGGAAATAAACATCAAGCTACTTGTACATATAGGTTTATAATATCCGCCACATCCTTTTTTTTTTGCTGTAACGAGTTTATTTGGTGTTCTTGGTAGTGGGTAGTAAATTCAAATTCAATTCATATTCAAAGTTTATTCTCTATAAAGATTACAATGGTTGAATTTACAGATTTGGTTTTGTTGTGGTTTACATATATTTAAATAATGATTACAGAGTGTACCACTAGAAACGCCTAGCATGCTAGGCATTTCTGGCCGACATATTTTAATTCTTATTTAAAATATTACAAATTATGAGTAGTTGGTATTATGGCTTAGTCCTAAATACTAGTTGTGAGTTTAGCAATGTGAATTCTTTTGTTTTGGCACAGTACATAGTTATAGTATTGGAGTATCATAGGATTCATTATTTTAATATTGAGATTAATATTTCTGTTTATGTCAAATGGGTGAGTGAGTGTAAGTGTGAACCACCAGTGGTATTCGTGTAGTTAGTTTGATGGGGTTTATCCAGGGAGAATAAGATGTTTTTCTAATGGTATTTTGAAGGTGATGAATGTGTCCTGCAGTTCTAGATTCCAGGTAGGGATCCAGATTTAGGGCCTTGACATACATTGTAATTTTTGATAAAGTTTAGTCCGGACAAGGGAATGTCGTATAGATGTTTGTGTCTCGTGTTATGCCTGTGGGTTCTGTCACAACGATCAAAGAAGCCGTTTTAGGTCAAGTTGATACTGGAGTTTAAGTCCTGTAGATGTAGATTGCAACCGTAGTACGTGTTGAAGTACTGAACAGTGGAGCAAAGTTTAGATCTATGAAGAGTGGGGGTGGGTGGTCCCATGGATGGGAATTAGTGATTATTCTTACAGCAGCTTTTGTTGGTTATTAATTGGCTTTAGGTGTGTTGCTGCAGGTGATCCCCAAGCACAAATAGCATAGGTAAGGTATGGATAAATAAAGTGAGTGGTATAGTGTGAGAAGGGCATTTTGCGGCACGTATTTCGTATCTTGGAAGGTTCCCAATTTTTTTGGATTTTTTTTTGTTATTTTTGGATATGGGTGGGGAATTTGGGTTTGTTGAAAGGGGTATAGGCTAGGAATTTGCCCTTTTTATGTCTGGTAATTAGAGTTTGCGATTTAATTTTAAATTTTGTGCATTCCTGCTCTTCCCCAAACTAATATATGGGTTTGTCAGTGTTAGCGTAATTTTGTTGGGCCACCCAAGCGTTTTTTTGATAGCTCCTCTTTTAAACAATTTGGTTTGAGGGGGGCAAGTTTAGGGGTAGAGAGACATAAGTCGTGTCGTCAGAAAGAAAAGGGGTTTTCAGGTTTGGGATAGTTTAAGACATTGATGTATAAGGAAGAGCAGGGGACCAAGGACATTTCCCCTGGGGAACTCCAGTATCAAGTGGCCGTGTTGTTGATGCTGTGTCTTTAATGTGACATACTGATACCTATTAGTAAGGTAAGATTTGAAATAAGCAAGCGCATGGCCTCTTATACCGTAATGGTCAAGTTTGTGGAGTAGGATGTCGGGGTTTACGGGGTCAAAAGCTTTTTCTTAGGTCAATAAAAATTCCTAGTGGATTTTTCCTTATTTTCCATGCGGTGTAAAGCAGATCTAGCATTTTTATGATTGCATCATTAGCGCTTTTATTTTCCTAAATCCAAATTGGCAGGGGTTGAGTATGTTTTGTGCTGTTATAAAGAATATAGTTCCTGTGCACGAGTTTCTCAAGATTTTTGGATAGCAATGGTAAGTTTGATATTGGCCTATAGTTGTTTAAGTCTGTAGGGTCACCACCTTTATGTATTGGTGTAACCCTTGCCATCTTGAGTAGTTTCGGGAAGGTGCTAGTTTCTAGTGACTTGTTAAAAAGTAATGAAATAACATGCGAAAGGATATGGGCCGCTCGCTTGTACAGTAATGGTGGGACATTAGACAGATTCCCTGAGTTGTTTTTAAGTGACTTTATAATCTCGGTGACTTCCGAGGGCTCAGTTGGTGCAAGATAGAAGGAATTTGGGAAATTCCCATCTAGGTACGTCTTCAGAGGCTTCTTGCTTTATTGTTAAGTCGTGGTGGGTACACAGGCTTGTGTGTTGTGCCCATGGCCCAGGAGGGCCATGCCCACGAGGGAGAGAGAGTAGGCCTTCTTGACTGAGTGTGTGATGTAGTCCAGCTGGGCTTGTGAGGTCTCTGGGGAGACCTAATTTAACCAATTATATGGTCACACCTTGCCTTGGCAAACGTCTGTAGCCACGCCCACGTCTGAGGTCTTTTGTTCTTGACGCCTCAGACCTAGGCGTCAGGTCGTACACGTGGTACATACACCATTGGGGAGGGGGTACTTTGACTACGATATAAGCCAAGGGAAGAGCGGGGCAAAGAGGTTGTTGGCGACAGGTCCGTCGAGCGAGAGCTCTGGACAGCCGCGTGTGTAGTGGACCACGCATTGGGTGAATTAAGAGTGAGTACTAGTCCGTGTTACTGATAACATCTACCCTTCCCCCTGGTAATAAGTCTCATAGGTCAATTGTTATATTGTGTAAATTTCCATCAGGATATGTTGTATTCTAGCCCTTTTATGTTATTAAGTAAACTATAGCCATAGTTCCCATTTTTATTTGTACCTTCATATGCTATTCCCTATTTTGTTAAGCACTGGGATATACAGGAGACGTGCTCACTCGCTGGGATACCTCCGGTAGAGTGGGTATAGGTCTCACAAGTGAAGGGTGTTGCCAGAGTGAGACAGAGGCAAGTCTGGGCATACTGAAGTGGCAAGGCCTGTAGGTGGCAGCACCAGCATGGCGTGAAATATGAACTAAGCTGGCAGACAGCATGGGCTGTCTGTGCAGACAGTACAGGCTGTCTACACCAATGTTTGGGGCGGATGCGAATGCAGATGCGGATATTTATTTAATCGTGATTGTGGATGCGGATGTCTCATTTAGAAAATGGATATGCGGATATGGATGCAGATGTGAGAACTTGTGTGGGTGTGAGAAATTGTGTGGATGTTCCGCCGTTGCGGATACGGATATCCGATACATCCCTAATACGTATATACACAGTTCATAGTTATAATATTAGTTGTATAGTAAAAAAAATAGTAGTAAACCAGTTCAAGTCATAACAGTTAATTACAGAATTGTACTCATGAACATTGCCACAAACCTACAACAAAGAATTATAAATGGCAAATAACAAAAAAAGGCACAATACCATGACTGGAACGATACACAAATAACCCGCACATAGAAGAGAGGAGCTTACAACGACGTTTCGGTCCGACTTGGACCATTTACAAAGTGACTTTGTAAATGGTCCAAGTCGGACCGAAACGTCGTCGTAAGCTCCTCTCTTCTATGTGCAGGTTATTTGTGTATAAATGGCAAATCTTAATATGTAGCTGGATTAGCACACCACTCACACAGACTTTTTTATATTATAGCTTTACTCTTATGGTATTTTGCTTTGAGGAGAGATTTTGAAGATGAGTAGAAGTCAGCTAAATAACCAAAGATCAATGCTACCCAGTTACTCATTATATTCATAGGAAAGTGCTAAACCCAGAAAGATCATGAAGTGCCTGGGAAATGAAAAGCAGTCAGGTTTGATCTGAGGAAGGAGAGGGTGTTTCCAGTGCTCTATATGAAAAGTTATCATAATCAATGCCCCCCCCCCTCCCTTCCTTTCATTATTCACTTTAATGCATTAAGTACTGTAAAATATATTAAATGTTTTCAAGAGAATTTATAATGAATTTTCTTGGTACTGCCGTTTGACAGGGAGCAACAACAGTGACTGGTTTCATTGCATACGTCATGGTGGGCCACATCTTACTTGCTCTCTTCATCTATGTCTTTAAGGTGAGTTGCTTGTCCTCTTGTATATGCACGTGCTCCTCAGAGAGCAACACAACCAGCTTATCATATTCCTGGGTATTATTATGTTATGTAGCATAGTACTTTTAGGAGACTATTATTATTATAATCAAAAGGAAGCGCTTAAGCTACCAGGGTCATACAGTGCTGCAGGGTAGGAATTCATGCAGGATCTAAGGATAAATAAGGGTGGAGATGACAATAAAGGTAAAGTTAGGAGTGGCTGTGAGGAGTGCTAAAGGAAGGATTATCAAAGTTTGTATAATAAATAAGTTGCTGTCAAAAAGTCAAAGAGGGAGTCTGTGTCAAAGGTGGGTCCATCAGAAAGGAGGCAAAATAAAGTACTGTAGGGCAGTTGGTGACGACAATGTCGGAGAAATCTGCATGCTCGATGATAGAAGGCAGTCCAATAGAAAATGGGAGTTTGAAACAGGAACTAGACAATTCTCACAAAGTGGAAAAGAACGCCTCTCCATGAGATACCCATGAGCTAGACGAGTGTGTTGTCTCCCAACCTCTGTATTGATGACAAGAAGAAACCCAAACTTGGTTTGATAGAATGTAATTTGTTATGAGTCATATCAGATCATCGTTGTTGCCAATGGTTGCGAAGGTGGGTAGAGATTGCAGCAAAATAGTCAGAGAATGGAATACCTCTATATGAAACTGGTAGGTCATGTATTGCAGATTGCACAGCAGAGTCTGCCTGCTCTTTGCCCTGAATATCAACATGACCAGGGACCCAACAGAAGACAATTTCTTTATTTTTGCTAGTAATGCAGCATAACCAAAGTTGTATACAAAGAACTAGGGGATGAGGTGAATCAAATTTTTTAATAGCTTGCAGATCACTAATGGAGTCTGAGACGATTACAAACTTTGAAGTAGTCATAGATGCAATATGGATAACTGCAATGAGAATGGCATAAAATTCAGCTGTAAAAATGCTAGCCGAGTCTAATAAATGACCTTGCACTACACTGTCAGAAAATACTGCTGCAAACCCAACACCATCAGTGGACTTAGAACCATCAGTGTACACTGCAACGGTATGAGAATGAGATCAGAAGTGATTAAGAAAAAGAGAGCAAGAAGCAGCTGTAGGGATTTGGGCTTTCGTGCATGGCAGTGGGAAAGAACACAATAAATGTCAGAATTCTTGAGGGGGAAGTGAAAAGTTAGATGCTAGATGAACATACAAAGGAGGCAGCTGAAGAGAAAACAAGAGCGATTGAAGACGAAGAGAAAAAAGACGGGGTAAACAGGGGTGGCGAACAAATGGACTTCTGCTAACATTTGTTACTATCCTGCATGTAGAAGGATTGTGAAGGTCATGAGAGTGGACAAAATAGCAATGAGCATCACAACAGTCATTCAAGGATGTGACATTTGCTTCTGCATAGAGGCTCTTGACAGGTGAGGAGCAAAAAGCACCTAGACATAAATGTAATCCCTGATGATGATGCACAAAATCGTAACAACGCGATTGCAAATAAACCATACCACGGGCGGGGTTTGAACCCGTGGTCAGAGAGTCTCAAAACTCCAGACCGTCATGCTAGCCACTGGGCCAGCTAGCTTCAATAAGATTCATCCAACTAGGTATATTTATACACCATAGGAAGGTTAGGATAGGCACCACTGTGACCACAAATGTAAGTTTTTACAGACGAATCTCCCGCTAGCTGACCTTCCTATGGTGTATAAATATACCTAGTTGGATGAATCTCATTGAAGCTAACTGGCCCAGTGGCTAATGCGACAGTCTGGAGTTTTGAGACTCTCTGACCGCAGGTTCAAACCCCGCCCGTGGTATAGTTTCCCTGATGATGGATGGGATTGAGTTTAGAAAGAGTTGCAGGAGAGGCCACAGAATATATCTGGTCACCATAATTTAGCTTCAACTCAGTTTAATGCTGTGTTCACCAAAAGTGTTGAACCCGTATGAGACATTCACCTATGTAATACTGCTGCCCCTACTTTCTCATTCTGGACACTGCCAGGTCACTGGAATATTTATTTAACCCTTTCAGGGTCGAAAGGCCCTCTCCTAAACTTGTTCTCAGGGTCGGAAATTTTTCGAAAAAAAAAAAAATTCCTATGAAATGATAGAGAATCTTTTCCTGATCATAATGACACCAGAAGTATGAATTTTAATGGAAAACTTAAAGAATTATGCTCTTGCGAAGTTAGTGATCTCGACGATGTTTACACATCCGCGATTTCGCTTACTTAGAGCCCTATTTTCGGCCAATTCCAGTGTACCAGTCTAAAAGAATCATAATTATTTTGCTAGAACTCCACTTTTTCTATCAAATGAGTACAAGAAACCACCCATTTACCGATTTCAGCTATCCAATAAAGTGGTCAGAAATTGGTAATTTTGCCAATTTTACACAAATTTCAAAAGATGCCAATTTCCAAATAGGGTCCAGAATAAGCAAGACAGACATTCCTGGCACTAAAACAACATTTTCTCTGTTCATTAGTCACGTCCCCAGGCCCCTCTTACATTTCTCTTGCTTTCCACTTTGAATTTTTGTTCTCACAAAAAAAATAAAAGATTTACTGTTATGCAGACTACTGCATTAGTGTAGAAGTGGTATAAATAATATCTGCCCCTTGTTTCCCAAGGGTGAGGAAGGGTTTGTTTTTTAATGGTTAAAATTTTTGGAAAAATAAGGAAGGAAAACAAATACTTCAAATTAAAATCTGTATAAAAAGGAGGCGGGGTAGGGTGGGCCTAGGAAAGGGGTTTGGAGGGAGGGGGTAAAGGGGTTTTTGTGTGCGAGGGGTTTGGGAAATTTTCCCAGCGGGGCATGCTGAGCGGTTTGTGGGAAAGTGAATGGAGACGAAGGGTTTTTAAAACTTACGTGCGTTGGAGTGTGACAAAGTAACTTTTTATAAAAAAGGGATTCGGGGAAAAGGGCGGGCCCGGACTTGGTCCTGGAGAGGGGAAATTTCAGTGCCTGCACTCTAAAAGGGGGGGTGTTAATTTGCAGAAAAAAAACTGAAAGTGTAAAGAAACCCTTCGGCAAGACATTGTGGAGTGAATGAGGGGGGAAAAGTTTTTTTTTTTTTTCGGGCCACCCTGCCTTGGGGGAAATGGGCCGGTTTTTTTTTAAAAAAAAAAATAAAATAAATTGTAAGAATACGATCACCAGTTGTGTGAAATTGGACGCAGGCATGTTGTTTATTTTTGAATTTTGGGCCCAAAAATTTAAAAATTTCGCTTTTTTGAGCTCAAAAATCAAGGAACTTTTCATTGTAAACCCAACCCAAAATCCTCAATTTTTTGTAATATGTTTTCCTTTCCCTATAAAATGGGGATCAAAAAACTAGAATACAACCAAATCCCATACGAAAATCCACTAAAAATTTTGCTTTTTTAAACCCCAAAACACGGTCGGATTTTTTTTTTTTTTTTTTTCTCATTATGCAGATGTGCAGTTTTTTTATACTGTGACCCTGACCCACATAAAACCCTTTCTTTCATGGGTAGGCCTACCAGCTTTCGTAGTTTTTGTGGGCCCAAAAAAATTTTTCGCGAAACTAGTATCATTTAACCCTAAAAGGGGTTAATAACCCAAAATTACAAGCAAATTTTCCATATTTGCGGCCCTTTTTTTTTTTATCCCAGGGGTTTTTTTCCAAATTTTTTTTTTTTTAAATTTTTTTTTTTGTTTTGTTTTTAAAAACCCACATCAGGGTTTCCCCCCAAGGCGGGGGCCCCATAAAAAGAAAAAAACTTTCATCATTCATCCTTTACTATCTTCCCAGAGGTGGGGCCAAAACCACTACTTTAAAAAAACCTGAAACCCTTATCAACACCCCTCCTTCAGAGAAAGGGCCCTTAAAAAAAAGGGGGAAAATCCATATGGTCATACATTTGGGAAATATAATTTACCCAAACCAACATCTCCACAATAGCCCAATTGCTCATTGACCCAAATGGTTACATTTAGCATTTTTTTGTGAAAAAATAACCCAAAAATTTTACAGTTTTAAACTAAAAAAAATTCACTAAAACTCAACCCAAGTGAGTCATTCGTGTTTACATCACCACAGTAGCCCCTTTTAGGATTGGAAAATCAGTGAATGTTTTTAAAAGTGTTTCTTTTCTAGTCTTAGCAACAAAATTTTAGTAGTTTTGAGAGTAAAGCAGTTTAATTTTTGTTGGGCATAGGGGTTTGTGTGCAATTTTTCGTCGGGCTGAATTTTAGCCATTTCCCTTTTTTCCCCTTCTTCGGATAATCTTTTGACGGGTTTTGGTATTGGACTATAAATATGGGACAAGGCCCCCAATCTTTCGAGATCCCTCAGCACTGTATGAACCCTTGTCTTTTTTAAATTGCTTTCTTTGTTTAAAAATAATTCTCAGATCCCTATCATCATGGTCATAATACAGGGACCCCGCCAAAGGTAATTTTAAACCCTTCCGGAAACTCATCGTTTTGTCGAGTTAAAATTTTTTCCCCAAGAAATAATGGGAAAAGAAATTAAACCCTTCCTGAAAACCTCAAAGTAAATTTAAAAAAAAATTTTTCCACATGAAATATTTTTTTTAAAACACACAAACGAAAAAAGACATGTACAATTACATGCACTTTCCTTTATTGAAGGGTCTGGAGAAATTTATGGGGTTGGGGGAAGGGGGAGAGTGGGATGGGTTAGTTTTTTAGAAGGGGGAAACCCCTTCCATTTGGACTTGGGTGTTCCCAAACCTTTTCTGGGGTTACTTTTCCCCTTTTCTTTTTTAAAGCCCCTAGGGGCCAGCTTTAAGGGCACTGAACCCCCTGTGCACAGCATATCTTTTTAAGAGGGCCCGTACCTCCTGTTCCCTTTTGACTTTTCCCAAAGTTTTTCCAAGTTTTCCCGTGTAAGGTTTCCAACACGGCTTTCAGTAGCTTTTTGTCAGGGTGAATTTTTTAACACAAAGGGTTTTCACTTTAAACCACATTGCACACATACAAAGTGGGATTTAGCCCCCATTAAGGTAAAGTTTTTGCCTCCAAATACCACCCTCTCCGCACCCATGGACCCCGCGGTTATTGCCAAAATTCAAAAAAAATCTACACAAAAGCTTGTTTGAAAGGTGCTTTGTAGTGACCACAGAAACTCAATTGGGCCTTTCAGAGTTTTTTGAGAGAAACACTTTGGCATCCTCAATTGTGTAAAAATTTTTAGGTAACTTGGGAGGGGGGGGAAATAAGGGGACCTTGGAAAAAAACTGGGCCCGAATGTGCAGGGGCAAAAGGGATTTTGAAGGATTTGAGGC